AGTTGCAGATCAGACCTGCACAATGATCTGGAGTCATTTTACTCCTCTTCACAAAACTGTTTCAGTGTAGCAATATTCTTGATGTCTGTGTTCGCTCTCTTTTCATGCCACAGCATTTCAATCAGGTTGAGGTCAGGACTCTGACTGGGCCACTCCAGAAGGCGTATTCTGTGCTGTTGCAATTGTTTTGTTGCATTACTTGTATGCTTTGGGTCATTGTCCTGTTGCATCACCCATCCTCTGCGGAGCTTCAGTTGGCGGACAGATGGTCGTACGTTTTCCTGCAAAATGTCTTGATAAACTCTGGAATTCATTTTCCCCATCAATGACAAACAATCTGTCCAGGCCCTGAGGCAGCAAAGCAGCCCCAAACCATGATGCTCCCTCCGCCGTGTTTCACAGTGGGGATGAGGTTTTGATGTTGGTGTGCTGTGCCTTTTTTTCTCCACACATAGTGTTGTGTGTTCTTCCCAAACAACTCAATCTTGGTGTCATCTGTCCACAGTATATTTTGCCAGTAGTGCTGTGGAACATCCAGGTGCTCTTTTGCAAACTTCAAATGTGCTGCAATATTCTTTTTGGACAGCAATGGCTTCCTAGGTCCTCCCATGTACTCCATTCTTGTTTAATGTTTTCCTTATTGTAGATGTGTCAACAAAAATGTTAGCATGTGCCAGAGATTTCTGTAGGTCTTTAGCTGACACTCTGGGATTCTTCTTTACCTCATGCAGCATTCTGCGCTGTGCTCTTGCAGTCATTTTTACAGGAAGACCACTTTAGCAACAGTGCTAAACTTTCTCCATTTGTAGACAGTCTGTCTTACCGTGGACACATGAACATCAAGGCTTTTGGAGATACTTTTGTAACCCTTTCCAGGTTCATGCAAGTCAACAATTCTTGATCGTAGGTCTTCTGAGAGCTCTTTTCTGCGAGGCATGGTTCACATCAGACAGTGCTTCTTCAAACCAGTAAACCAGGTGTGTGTTTTTTAAGGTCAGTACAGCTGTCAGCAACACATCCAATATCATCACACTGATTGGAGTCAAGGTTGGCTCACTCCTGGCTCCAATTAGCTCTGGGAGAATTCATTAAGCTAGGGCCTCACATACTTTTTCCTCCCTGCACTGTGAATGTTTACATGTTATGTGCAATTAAACCATGGCAACATCTAATGTTTGTGTAGTATTATGTTCAGCAGACTGTGTTCTTCTATTGTTGTGACTTAGATGACATTCAGAGCACATTTTATGCCCAATTCATGCAAAACTCCACGTAATCCCAAGGGGTTCACATACTTTTTCTTGCAACTGTAAATCAATTGCCCCTATAACTGAAATATAAAAATGTCTCTACCCCTGCTCTAGCCCATAAGGGTTATACCATCTGGCATCAGGATCTCAGTGTTATATGCTTTCATTGTGTTAAGGATGGCCCAGTTTAAGGGTCAGGTTAGTGTCAAGCTTAGTCATTACATGTTTAAGACTTTAAATATTATAACAGAAAATTATGTGTTAAAGTGGTAGTAAAGTCTGCTCTTTTTACTTATATAATCAGGCCTATCTGTAGCTCCAAGTTGTAGCAGCGGGTTAAGTGCTAAGGATTAGCTTAAATAAACGCTGCTCCTAGAGGGGTTTACCATTTTGTCCTTAGAAGCAACTAATGTTATCCTATGTATCCATGCACATTAAGTAGTCTAGAGGGGTTTCTTTAACTCAGAGGCAGAAAAAAAACCCTTCCGTTTTGTGTTTTTTGTTTTTATGGCAGAAACAAAAAGGTTAAAGCTACAGTGCATGGAGCCTTTTTGTTATTTTGTATGTTTTGTGTGTATTGAAGTGGAGGTTTAGTTTTAAAGGGATGCTTTTAATATAGAAGTCACTTTATTTGATCATTTAGGACCCATTCACTCACATAAGAATGAAAAAGATTCTTGTTCATAGCTCGCTGTATCAGATGCCCATCATAAGGATAACCAAAGGCCAGTTTTTTTTTTAGTTTTTCATTATCTTTAGAGGTATAAATGAAAGTAACTAGATGTTTATGAAGACCCTAATGAATCCTCTGTGTTGGAGATCAATCATATAATTTAGGCCCTACAAATTTAGCATTTAGATATTAAAAAGTTTGTCTTCTAAAGCCTTTTTGTAGTTTTGGGTAGAGTATGCCCATACTCCTGTGAGTTTTGACCCCACAACTCGTGCTTGAGTGGGAGAATATATCTCCAAACTAAGAAGACATTTGTAAATCTTTGGATTTCAATTTCAATCCTAGATTTAATCAATCTCCTAGGGGAAACAAACAGCAATAGAAAATTGATAGTTTTAACACTTCCATGCTGTATGCAAAACTAGAAAAAAGTTTTGGCTTTTGAGACAATTAAAATTCAAAGAAGTAATTCTCATACTGGTTTTTCATAGAGCAGAGGTATAGCATCTTATACTAGCTAAGAGTGCCTACAATTGGCATGGGAGGATCATATCCCTGCCCCCAGCTGACAAAACCCAAATCCACATAACAGTCCCCAGGCTGAACTATTTCCCCCTGCCCTTCACTGACAGCCCCCCCTCAACTACCGCCCCCTTCACTATCCACTGATATACCAGCGAGTGAACAAACATCCTTTCACCCCACCTTCCATCCCCTTCCCCATCCCACCAACTACCGCCTACCACCCACAAATCTCCACAACCCCAACTACCGACCCCAACCAACTACTGACAGACTCCCACCCCCAAGTACCGCCTGACCCCCCACAGACATATCAGGACCCCCTCAACTACAGACCCCTCCCCGACCCTAAAAGTACTTACCCCCAGTGCTCCCCCCCAGTGACCACCACTCCTCCCTCCGAAAGACCACCACCACCCCTCCAACTACCACCCCCTTCTGCCATAAACAGCCCCTCCTCCCAAACTACCATCCTCCATTGACAGACCTACAACTGCACTGACATCCTATATCCCCGTGTACCCCTGGGATTGGCGCTGTTAATTATCAAGACACATGACTGAATCACCGCTTGCCTGTGTCCCTGCTGATCACACAGCATGTAAGAGGTTAAATATTCTTCCTGTGTGCCGCTGATCATTCAGCATGTAAGGAGTTAAATGATTCTGCCTGTGTCCCCCTCCAATCACTCAGCATGTAAGGGGTTAAATGATACAGCCTGTGTCCCCTGCCGATCGCTGAGCATGTAAGGGGTTAAATGATTCACCCTGTGTCCCTGCCAATCCTGTCTGTGTCCCGCTGTGCCCTGCCGAACACTCAGCATGTAAGGGGTTAAATGATTCCCCCGCCATAAGGGGTTAGTTGAACTCAGGTACATGTTCGGCTGCAGCAGCTCGATGATCGACTTGTCGTGCCTTAAACCGACGCATGCACAGTTGCTTCAGGGCAGGGGCGGACTGACCATTTGGAAACTCAGGCACTGCCCGAGGGCCCGGGGTCAGTAGGGGGCCCCATGAGATGCCCTTGGTACCTTTTTCATAGGCTTTTTTGAGTTTGGGCAAGGACACAGGGGCCCCATGATCTCCTATTGCCCGGGGGCCCCATGAGTTTTCAGTCCGCCCCTGCTTCAGGGGATACCGATTCTCATGGGATACTCATCTTGCTGCTACACCAGCACCTGGTACATGCAGAGCTGGTTCGGGTCTTCACTGGATAGTCCGTTTCCTTGTGTAGCATTCATCTGCCGCCTAAGGAATTGTAGATGTGTACACGTGTGATCCACTCTATTGGTTTTCATTGATTCCTACACGTAGGCCTGACTTTGTGGGACACCAATGCTAGTGTATGAGAGTTGTGACCACAGGGTGGCGTTCTTACACTGTACACAATGGACGTGCAGGTTGTTGTGGTGCAATTAACCACTTGCCCTCCAGAGGATTTACCCCCCTTCCTGACCAGGCCATTTTTTGCGATACGGCTCTGGGTTACTTTAGTTGACAATTGTGCGGTCATGCAGCGCTGTACATAAATCACATTTATGTCCTTTTTTCCCCACAAATGTTATTTCTTTTGGTGGTATTTGATCGCCTCTGCGGTTTTTATTTTTTGCACTATAAACAAAAATAGTCTGACAATTTTGAAAAAAAAAAAAAAAACAATATTTTTGACTTTTTGCTATAAAACATATCCAGTAAAAAAAATTAAAAATAAAATGTCTTCATAAATTTAGGCCAAAATGTATTCTGCTACATGTCTTAGCTAAATAAAAATCCCAATACATGTAAATTAATTGGTTTATTAATTGGTGAAAGTTATAGCGTCTACAAATAGCGGAATATACACTGGAATTTTTATTTATTTTTTACTAGAAATGGCAGCGATCCGAGGCTTATTGTGGGACTGCAGCATGCATTCTGACACCGGGTGGGATTTGACTAACTGCCACTGACATCCCCAGCGACACAAATACAGTGATCAGTGCTAATAAAAAGCACAAATACTGTACTAATGACAATGTGCAAGAAGGGGTGAACATCTGGGGAGATCAAAGGGTTAACTGTGTGCTGTGTGTGTTTCACATGATGTGCTGTGTGTGTTTTACTATGTAAACATGCTGCTTTGTATTGCTCTGCTGTGCAGAGCAATACAAAGCAGCATATTTGTGCTAACCGGGCAGAGCTCTGTGTTGTTTACACACAGACCTCTCCCCAATCAGCTCTGCCAATGAACACTGAGTCCCGGACGAGAAGCGGTATCCAGGACCCACTGATTAACATGCCGAGGAGCCAGTAGGGGAGCGGGTAGGGCGCGCACCCCTACCCAGAAATGCAAATCACGTATATATATATATATATATATATATATATATATATGTGATTTTGTGCATCCCTGCCACCCTGTAGCACTGACTGGCACAACCGCTGGGCACTGACTGGTGGCACTGACTGGCAGCACTGCTGGGCTGCACTGGTGGGTGGCACTGGTGGGCAGCACTGGTGGGTGGCACTGGTGGGCACAGGTGGGTGGCACTGGTGGGCACAGGTGGGTGGCACTGCTGGGCACAGGTGTGTGACACTGCAGAGTGGCACAGGTGGGTGCACTGCTGGGCACAGGTGGGCGCACTGCTGGGCACAGGTGGGCGGAGCTAGTGGGCACACTGCTGGGCACAGGTGGGCGGAACTTGTGGGTGGCACTGCTGGGCACCGATCATCAGGGCACTGATCATCAGTGCCCTGATGATCGGTGCCAATCCTCGCTCTGACAACTGCCGGTTCTCGGCAGTACTTTCCTCACGATATGACAGCGTGAGGAAAGTGCAGCCGAGAACCGGCACTTGCATTTCCCTGTGATCAGCGTGTCATTGGACACCGGTGATCACGTGGTAAAAGGCCGGTATGATTGGCCTATTACCACATTTCGTGATCAGCTGTGTCCGTAGGACACAGCGATCACGGAGATCGTCGGTGTGCGCGCCCCCTGGGGCGCGCAGGAGAGCGCGTTCTGGGGGGACGTCATATGACGTCCACCCAGAACTGGCCGGCCGCAGTTTAGCCGTCATTTGGCTATCTGCGGTCGGCAGGTAGTTAATCACCACTGGGGTTTTTATTTTTTGCTAAATAAATGAAAAAAGACCGAAATGTAAAAAAAAAACCAAAAACAAAAAACACGTTTCAGAGATGCGTGATTCCCGACACGCTGGGCAAGAGATTTTTCTTCACATTTAGCCCTACTGCAGCCCCCAGTGACACCAATACAGTGATCAGTGCTAAAAAAAAAAGCACTAACACTGTACTAATGACACTGGGCAGAATGGGGCAATCAAAGGGTTAACTGTGTGCAGGGAGTGTTTTACTAGGAGGCAGTGTCAGTGTGCTTCACTGTGCACAGCCATCCAAAGCAGTGTGTCTGAACTGACGGGGAGGAGAACTGTTAATAAACAAAACAGTCCTCCTCCCCGTTGGAGATGCTCGGTAATCACCGGGCACCGTAGGATAATCACTGGCCGGAACCTGGTGATTGACAGCAGTGGCCGGGAATGACGGTGCAGGTAGGGCACGTGCACCCCCTTCCCAGAGATACAAAATCACATATATATATATATATATATATATATATATATATGCATGATTTTGCACACCCCTGCCACCCTGTAGCAGTATATCTGCTATAGGGTGGTGGGAAAGCGGTTAAAAAGAGAAAATAATTTAATCACATAGATCCTGGTGTAATCAAATGACATCTCTCCAGCAGAAAGGAATGCATGCTTTAGCAGCATTCAAGAGTTGTATGGTGAGGGAGTGCTTGTATTTTTTAGTAGATTAGGTGCCACAGGCAGGCCATAGAGTCATCTCAGCAGTGAGTTGCCTAATGACGCAAGGCACTGGTTGCCAGAAGGGCTGAATTAGTAGGCACTGCCAGAAGATGTGGACCATGGATCCATCACCCACCCCACAGCGCCAGCAGGAGCCAGGTATCTGAGGGGAGATGCAGTGAAGTATGGTGGGAACCTTATACCAGCTGGTGAGTATTTTGTAGTTGGTTTCCTGAACCTTTGAGGCAATAGAGAATTTGAGGGAGAAATAGAGTTTTTTTCTCCCTTTGCTGCGTTGTGAGTTGTAGGTCCAGGTCTGCCTTCCATTTGGCCAGAAAAGGTGGGACATAGTCGGCTCCCGGGTGGATCAAGGAAGCATATATCTTTGAGAGGGAATGGTATACCGGTTCCCCCCTATGACATATGGACTCAAAACTTGTAAGAAGTCTGGAGGTGCCTGGAGTGAGAGAGCGGAGGAGGAAATGCAACTGAAGTCCTCCTCAAAAGTCCAAGAGAGTGTCAGCGAGTCGAGAAAGGTCCGTGGAAATGAGCGCACCTCCCGAGGTCAGAAAATTGGTCAGATGAGTACGGCCGGAAGCTTTAAAGTGGAGAAATTGGGGATGGCAAGGACTGGGGCAAAACTCTGGGTTATTCAAGATGGGAATAATACGGGGGGCCTGTGGAGAGACCGAAGATGCATGGAACGTTGCCCTTGAAACCTGTAAAGTGCTGCCTAGGGTAAAGTGTGCACAGAGTTCCTTTGGTAATGGAGAGGAAATCCAGCGCTAACTCATGGCAGTACCCCCTGAGTCCTCCATTTCCATGTCAACCTTGGTCAGTCCTTGGCCCCCCCCATGACAGTGCCAGTCCACCAATTAGCAAGATGAGTTGCCTTATAGTAGGCCTGAATATCCAGAAGGCCAACGCCCCCAGACATCTTAGGCAGGGTCAAGCGATGTAGAGCTAGACGGGGCTTCCCATGAGACCAAAGTTCCGAAAGAGGGAACTGAGTCTTTGGAAAAACGTTGAGGGGAGGCATATTGGAAGGGCTTGTAGTAGGTAGAGAACTCTGGGGAGTAACGTCATCTTAAGAGTAGTGCATCATCCAAACCATGTCAATGTTAATGAATCCCAGTGTAAGAGGTCATCCTAATTTTAAGTAGAAGTGGTTCATAGTTGGCCCCGTACAATTTAGAGGGATTGGGGTGATGTTAATGCCCAGGTACCTAATGGTAAGGGCGGAGGACTTCGACAAGTTGACCATGAAGTTGGATAAAGAGCTGTACATCCACAGCGCCCGTAAAATATTGGGCAATGATGTAAGCCGATTTGTGACAAAGAATATCAGGTCATCTGCAAAAGCTCTGACTTTGTGGCTTCCCAAAAGTTTAAAAAACCTGGTAATATTAGGATCTGTGTGGACTGGACACAGGAACGGTTCCAGCATTAAGATAAAGATGAGAGGAGAAAGGTGGCACCCCTGATACCTCCCATTTGAAATGGGGAAGAAGTCAGACCTGGTCTTGTTGACTTTTACTGCCTGTCAGGAAAGGGCTCACCGCTGGTGGTGCTGTGGCTCACCTGCTCTATGGGCTGCAGTACTGGGACTTAGCAGCGAGTGCCTTTCAGCAGCCAGGATCTCACCTCCTGCAATCAGGCCATCACTGTCAAGGTCCTACCTTTTCCCAGAGGTTATGTTACTCCATGTGCTGGCATCCATCTTGATTTTCTGCTGAGCATGGTGGGAATCTTTTATGCCTTCAGGTCTCTGAGGTCCATCCCCCAGAGGGGTGTGGCTGAGTACATATAAGCCTGTGATCCGCAAATGCTCTTTGCGCTTGTGTCTTGTGTCTTTGTCTTGCTACAGCTCTGTGTATACTCTCGTGACTCTTCTGGTATTTGACTCGGCTTGTGACTAGACCATTCTCTGTGTTTTCCTTTGATCTGACCTTCCGTTGCTGAACCCGGCCCGTGACCTGTTATTCACTGTCTACTGTTCTGTACCGTTTTGTCCCGTTGTTGTCGACCCGGCTTGCCTGACTACGCTATTGTCATTCTCACCAGCTACACGCCATTGGCAGCGGCCATTATCGCAGCCAAGGTGTCTCGGGGGCCGCGACCTGGTTCCTGGCTGCATCAAGTCCATCCCCACCATCAGGGGCCCTGGTGAAGGGCAGCCTGGGACTTAGACTCCGCGCCCTGAGGGACTTCGGTCTGTTGGTGGTGGTTGTCGTCAGCCAGTGCGTTACCCTGCCACTAGGCCTACCTGTCCGTTCCACAGCCCTGCCCTGACAATCACCTGAGGCTGATTGCAGGAGGTGTACTTAAACAGCATGTTAATGCCATGTGGTTGTATCCCATTGTTCTATTGTGTGTCTTGATTGGGAGCAAACTATTATGGGATGTATGTGTTTGTGTGTATTGGCTTGGTGGGGGGTGTTTGCGGCAGCCCTTCCCCTGATGGGTCTGTCTGCTGATGTGTCTCTTGTTACTGGGTGTGTATTGCCCGTCCTGTATATATATCTTGTATCTGTGTTAAAATAAAGCAGTCCATTTCCTGATTTATTACAAGACTGGTCTTGCCTAGTCTTGTATGGCCAGCGGTGGGGTCCATGGACGGTGTTCAGACAGGGAAGCAGGAGCCTAACGGAAATACCCAAGTGCAGTCGGGGTCCGGTTCTGTTACAAGTAGTCTCTGTCCTGGGGATACATTATACGCCATGGGTCCACTAGCTGCAATAAATGAAGTGCCGCCTTGAGACATTTCAGTCTGGCAAAATAAAGGCGAGACTTGCCCCTTGAAACATCCAGGGTTGGGTCCATTGCAAAAGTCTCCACCGAATATCAGAGTTCCCTCAGCAAACTAGACTAGAACCGGCACCATACTGCGCAGGAAAGGGAGATAGTCCACATTGGGAAAGTATACAGTACATTCGCCAAAATGACAAGGTGAGTACCAATTTTGCCTTTGACTAAAATGAAGCAGCCCATGGGATCCTGCTGCACCGCTGAGAGAGACCAGGGGACAGACCTAGCTATCAGAATGCTCACCCCCTTCGATTTGGATATAGAAGGGCTGTGATAAGCCATCAGGAAAGCTCTATTGGTCAGTTTGGGGACATGGTCAATTTTAAAGTGTATTTCCTGTAAGAATGTCACTTGTGTCCAGGGGCAGACTGACCATTTGGAAACTCGGGCACTGCCCGAGGGCCCGGGGTCAGTAGGGGCCCCATGAGATGCCCCTGGTACCTTTTTTATAGGCTTTTTTGAGTTTGGGCAAAGACATAGGGGCCCCATAATCCCCTATTGCCCGGGGGCCCCATGAGTTGTCAGTCCGCCCCTGCTTGTGTCTTCAGCTTCTTCCGATCTGTGAGGAGCCTGGAGTGTTCTTCAAGGTAACAAAGGCCTTGCACATTGAAGGAGGTAAAATTGACAATGTCCATGGCCATCCCAGCACCTTGTCCACCAGTATGGGACAGGTTAACGGTCACCCCAAGAGAGGGAAAGGAAGAGAAAGGAAAGAAGGAAACCCCCAAACCAAACCACAGAATGGGTGGGGGGCAGGAAAACTAGGAGAAAGGAGAAGAAAGAGAGAAACATGAGAGGAAAGAAGGGAAGGAGGGCCAAATGGGAACGAAGGGAACAGAAGGGAAGAGGGCGGAAAGGGGGGGAGCTCCTTCTGCAACCAGAAACAAAAATACAAACCAGGAGAGCAAATAGGAATAAGAACCGGGGGAGGGGAGAAGCCTAGAGGAGGGGAAGAGGGAAAGGATTATAGATCTAAGGGGGTAAAATAATAATAGAATGAGATGAGAACAAGAGTTTTCTAATGATACAGCGTACCAAGTTCCCATACTGAGCACAGTAGTGCACCGTAGGGGAAATACCCTAACGGGGGGGTGGTGAAGTTAGACTCGGATTAGACAATCAGAGATGTGAGACCGGAGAACCGAGACAGAAATAAGTTAATGCATACCGCTGCTATCAGCATTCCCCAAAAGAGAAACAGGCAGAATGATTAGACCAAAGGGCCTCAGGAGGATCGACTGTATCTGAACACACTCTCTCTCTGGAGAGGAAAGGAAATGCCCTCTGGGCATGCCCCCCTCCTCCTCTCAGCCGGCCATGACTGGGGC